CAGTTACAGTCTATGACTAAAGTATGCAATTTTTACAATAATGATGAATGGGATTTGGACAAATTGAAAGTAGTTTTACCTGAATTTATGGTTGAAGACATATTTGATATTCCCATTGAAAAATCTTGGGACTGATGTAGCGTATTGGACTCCTTCTTCTAATGGTGAATTTTCTACTAAGAGTTCTTAGGAGATAGTTTGGCAAAAACAAACTGTAAGTAATGCTTTTAACTTAGTTTGGCATATAACTTAATTTTCAGCTTTCTATTATTCAACTGCTAAACATTATGCGGGTTGTTTGGGCATGGTATTGTTCTGATGACTATATTAAGCAAGGACATATTAAAGTCATGCTACTTATCTTTATATGTAGGTTCTTGTGGATTGAAAGAAATGATGCTAAACACAGGCAAATTAGGTGTCTACCCTCAACGAATTATAGTGCACTAGGAAATTGCTGATACAACTTCACAAAAGGGACCTAATGAAAAAATCGCAATGGAAAGGTGATTTAGAAATTGCGAAATTATGAAATATCCATTTTCCAAATTAGCAACCAAAAGTACCTTCAAATAACTAGATGGTTGAAGCCATGCTTGGATGAAATCAAGTTGAATGTTGATGGGAGTTTCAAGAATCAATCCCAACATGTCGCAGGTGTTGGAGTTGTGCGAGCACAAGTAAGCTCATTTTCGATTTTTCAAAGAATTTTGATCCTAATAACTCTTTGAAAGCTGAGCTTCTTGCTGGATTATCTTTATGTCAAGAGTACAACTTCTTCAAAATTTGGATTGAAATGGATGCCATGGTGATAGTGAATATGATACAAAAAAGCAATTCAGGTTCTTATGATACTGGATATATTTTAGCTTCTATCAAGAATTGTTTGAAAAACTTTTCTTATGGAATCTCTCACACTCATCATGAAGGGAACCAAAATGCAAATTTCCTTTCCAATCGAGGATATTCACATGAAAGATCGAAAGTATTTTAAAATGTTGATGACAAATTAAGAAGTATTTTAAAATTAAATAGAATTTAAATAAATGTAAAAGAATAATACTCCTTACTTATTTTTTATCTTTAGCTTTTTGTAAAAGAGCAGTATTACTTATCCCATGCACTCATAAAGTATATGCAAGGAAGGTAGTATCTCTATTCGGACTTTTTTCTTATCTCTCAAATGTAATTCTGGAGATAAGGTTCATATCCCCTTCTCTAATGTATTTTTTTTTTCTTTCATCTTTAATAAAACTATTACATGGTAGCTTGCTCTGAGAGATTTTTCCAACTTAAAAAAAACTTACTTTCTAATAAAATGAGTTTATAGTTCCAACCCGAGTGCTTTAATTTTTATGATAACACTTTGCAAGACGTCAGGCAAAAAATTGAAATTGTGAGTTTAGTAACCATAGATTCGTTACTAATTTGGGCCATTCAATTATTAGCATTACAGAAGAGGCCCAAAATAAATTGAGGCCCAAAATTGTACCATATTGGACTCGGAATTAGAACCATAATAAAGTCCCGCATAAGCCTGCTAGTGTGAGATTATATTGGAATTGCAGTGACATACTGTGAATAGAAAACGATTATTTAAGGCATCAAGTTTTTATATTAACAAAATAAAAATAGTTTATTATGTATTTTAATAAACATTTTAATGAGTACAAAAGGAATTTCAATTAAATAAATGTTGATTTTAAAGATTTAACTTCCTCACAAAAGGTTTCATTTTAACTTTTAAATCAAAGCACATTCATCTTTTTTTTTTAAAAAAAAATGATTCATAAATAAAGAAAAAGAGTTCATCGGTGTTGTACTAGAAAATAAAAAGAAAACTCTTGTGATAATGGTACCAAAAGAAGCTTTATATTTGTGATAATATAAACCTCATCGAAACTATGGTTATTTTTAACGGAATAGTACCCCCGTTCACATTTCTTTATTCATTACTCACACTTTACCTATAAATTCATGAATTACTTAGAACATAATCATTTGAGCTAGTATCTAAGTAGAAATATTAGATTCTGATCATGGGAGTTTAATTTAATTTTATATTAATTTTTTAAATTAAATGGTTTATTTATTTTTATGATTCTTTTTATTGAATACACGATGTCATATAATTATAAAATTTTTAATTATAATTGTAAAAAAAAAAAAAGAAGCCATGCAAGTTAAGGATTTATTCAAAAAGATTGTGACCCATGAGACTATTATTATGTTGAATAAATGATAAGTTAGTGTTGGTTCAGCCAATAGATGATCGAAAGAAAAAGTCATAAAAAAAAGGTAAGTGGGAACAAAAAGAAAAGAGAAAAAGCATGTGAGCCAAGAATTTGATTGTAAGAGAATTCCTCTCAAATATCGAATAGTCAATATATATACTCAAGTTGCAAGCCATGCTTCAAAGCCAACCCTATCACGGCTCATTGTGCTTTTGATTACGACCTCCAACCCAATCCCCCACTCCCTCATTTTCTTCTTCTCTCTTTTAATTTCTTTTGTCCCATTAAACCCTTTTCTCTGTGGCTTTAGCTTTATTATTATTATTTATTATTAATCTATCAAAATTTCTCTTGTCGTTGTCATTTGAACTAACTTTAACGTGGCTCTATTTGGTATAATAAAAATTAAAAAAAAGGGGGATTGGATAAAGAATAGAATAGAATTTATTCATACCATTATTGATATATGAAAAGCACAAAAGGTTATTGGAGTATAATTTAAAAATGCCTGGTTAGCCTCCTCTTTGGATTTCTTTACCCTCCTAGCTTTTGTCCAATCAAGCTGGACCAGTGTTCAAGAGTTCACATGATTTGAGATTTGATGTGACTTGGGGGTGAAAAACATTCGAAACACGGACCTTCTTTTTGAGCAAGTTGGAGAAAGTGACTGTTGGTTTGGATTACTTTTGGGGCACTTTGATCTTATTCTTAGTATTTTCGATCTTTTTTTCACCCAGTGGAAGAACATAAAAGGAAAAAAAAAAACAGAAAGAAAGAAATGAGAGAAAAAAGTATAAAATAAAACAAGTCTAGGGCAAGATTAAACTCCAAATGTTCTAAAAGAAAATTGTATAATTGATAAAAAATTAATAATTTATATAGATATCAATATAAGAACATATTTAGTTCATGACATGATAATCACAAAACTTGCTCGTGGCATGCACAGTACAAACTTAAAGCATGTAGTATTGTATTTTAATTTGTTTGTAGACTAGTATAACATTAAGCCATTAAAGCATTTTATATGATAGTTTTCTTAAAGAAAAATGTTTTAAATTCTACTAATTTCATCCACAGACAGACAAACAGAGAGGGAGTAATGATAGTTGCGTAAGCGGATCATCAATTCACTACTTCCCTCTGAAGAGATAATTACGAGAATGAAAGGGCAAAAAATAGAACAGAGCTTACCGATCTGACTCATCCACGTCCTTTTAATGTGTCGAATCTTATCATCGAGCATGCGCTGTACGTTCCGACCTTTTCTTCTAGAATCTGGACTTTTGGGCTTTCGCCCAGGACCCACCTAGGTCCCACCTTCACATGCTAAAGCCAACTCCTATTCACATCCATAACAACGCTCTGCCTTGGTCAACTCCTCTGGCGCCCTTCTCACTTCATTTATTCACTCATTGCCCTTTTCCACTTTGGATAGTGTTTCCCCCTAAAAAACCCAAGCCCCTCTTCAGAAATTATGATGCTAATAATATATTTTTAACATTTAGAATTTCATATTCAAATCATAAAAAAAATTAAAAGAAAAATAAAATTTACGAATAAAGAGAATTATTTCTTAAAATTTAAATCTCTTTTATTACTTTTTAGAATATTCATCATTATCTAGTTATTATTTTTTAAACCATATTTTCAACAATTAATAAATTTTAGAAGTATTTTATTAATTATAAATAATTTATTAATAAAAAATATATACAAATTAAAATTTATTACTTATAATCGAATTCAAGTAATAATCGTGACGAGGAATCTTTTACTACTCAAATTCTATATCAAGCAATAAAGAATACTTGATTATAAATTACTATCTCTAATTAAAACGTGACACAAACAAAAAGTAATGAAAAAGAGTCATGTCCCTAATAGATACCATGTAATCCAAAATGATATTCTTAATACACATATATATATAAAAATCAAAATGAAAGTTTAACATGACAATTTAAAATCTAAATTTGATAAGATTAGAATTATTTAATTCCAATTTGCACCGATTTTGTTAATCATTGATGTTGAGCACGCAATTGAAGAGCCATGATTATACGTATGTATACTAATATATTAAGCAACTGTCTCAATGGATGATATCTTAACTCCTTACTGTTAATGTTTAAAATACAACTATTCATTAATATTTAAGTCTCCCAGCCGATCTGTAGACTTCATGTTTTTATTGTTTTATTCTTACAATTAGACTTGATAATTTATATTGCCATATCATAATCATATAATGTAAGTTACACCGCGCGATATTATTAATACATTTATTAAAATCAATTAAATTTATATGACACAATAAGATATATCAAAACAAATCCATTAAATATGATTAAAACGTTTAAATGGATATCATAATGGAGTTAATATATCATAACACACAAATTGACACAATTAATTAAATGGATTATATGAGAGTTGAACAAATTTAACCAATTTAAAACAAGAAATTATTGTATCTTAAGCGCGTTTACCCGTTTAAAATATGAAATACGAGTACTCTCTGCTCAACCCTATCATATTCAAATTTGTCAAAGTCAATTAAAATCATAATTTTTAAGATGAAATATATATTTTTAAGATTTCAATTAAGTAGGCATACACATTGCAAAATACGTATGAATTTCGGCTGCAAGTGAATTGAAAATTACGGTTCGGAAAATCAAACAAGAGTTTAGACCTTACAAGTTGGTCTCACATATCCAAATTGTTGTTTATAAGAAATATTTAATTACAAAAAAAAGATTATATCTTGTTATAAAAGAGATATTATGATTAACAATTACATCAAAACTCAATATAGAGAATTGAATGACTAATTTGATCCTAACAAACAGGTCATCCAAATCAAAAAACGTGTTTCTTGTAAAATCAGTTAAAAGATTTTCAAATAACATTATAAACAAATCAAATAAACCTTTTTCATTTTTCAAATGATACCCACTTGAAGAAAAAAGGCCGAAGGAAAAAAGCACAGTGCCCCCACCTTGATAGGCATCCACGTTGAACCGCAAACACCGGAGAGTCTAGATACATCAAAAAAGGGACGTCGAAAGCTAGAGAAAAGCGAAAGAAACCGACAAAAAAAACCATGTTCCCTTACGTGGCATACGCTGGTTTGCTGTCCCTACTGCACATCGAATCGGAGTTGCCTTTTTCCTCCAATTATAAAAAGCCGTCCTTACACATACTATTTTAAGACTGCAACTAAAAGAGAACAAAAAGGGGAAAATGGGTTCTACTGAGTTGTTACAGGAGCTGATTCCAGATTTACCTGAGGAAATCGGACTCGAGTGCTTGACTCGATTTCATTATTCAACTCATCGAATGTCAGCTCGAGTTTGCCGGCGATGGCAAGAGCTTCTCCAAAGCAGACAGTTTTACTACCACAGAAAGAGAACCGGGTGTACCCAGAGAGCCGCTTGCTTGGTTCAATTACTAAAGAGTGGTTCCGATCCTGATGGGTCCAAACACGTCTGTCAGCCTAGGTATGGTATCACCGTGTTTGACCCCGCGAGTGGCACCTGGGACCGAGTTGACCCGGTTCCTAAGTACCCAGGTGGGCTTCCGTTGTTTTGTCAGATAACAAGCTCAGAAGGAAAGCTTGTTCTGATGGGCGGCTGGGACCCGACCAGTTATGACCCGGTGAGAGACGTGTTTATATACGAGTTCACGACTCAGAGGTGGAGACAAGGGAAGCAGATGCCGGAAACTCGCTCATTCTTTGCGGCTGGGGAGTTGAATGGACGAGTTATCGTGGCGGGTGGTCATGACGAGAACAAGAACGCTTTAAGCACAGCGTGGGAATATGATGTAATTCGGGATGAGTGGACTCAGTTGGCTCCGCTGAGTCAGGAGCGGATGAGTGTCAAGGGGTGATGATTGGATCGGACTTCTGGGTGGTGAGCGGATACAAACGGAAATCAAGGAGGATTCGAGGGGAGCGCTGAGCTGATGGATTTGGGGACGGGTCAATGGAGGCGAGTTGACGAGGCATGGAAGGCTAGTCAATGTCCCAGGTCTTGCGTGGGAGTTGAGAAAGAGAAGAAATTTTCTGCTGGGCCGACCGTGATTCGGCGATACGAGTTGGAGTATGTGCAGTCCCCTTGGTGAATCGACGTTGTGTCTGGATCAGCTTACCAGGGTGGTCCACAAGGGTTCTTTTTGGTGGATGGTCAGAGTGGGCAGTTCAAGAGTCTTGATGTTCCGGCCGAGTTCTCTGGGTTTGTACAGTCTGGATGTTGCGTGGATATCTAAATCAGCAAATCTAAACCTACATCTTAAAGTGTAAGTCACTCTGGTTTACACCATCCCGTTCTAATCAAATTGGGAATTTGGGACAGAGACGCCTCGCGTATGCAGTACGGCGTTCAGTCCCCTGATGGCAGAGACTCCCACATCCAAGTTGGTGTGACTAGTAAAGACGGGTGAGCAAAGCTCACGGTCCCATGATGATGATGTAGACATATTAAGATTTGGATGGATAACATTAACATATGTTATCATCACTGCATAATGTTGAGTGTGTTTATAAAATCTAGCAAGCATCAACATGAGTATATCTGTATAAAATAGTTGTAATATAATAGTACCTTATCACCCATATTTTGTCTGCAGAAGTTGGTACAGTATAACCCATACTTTTGTTTGCAGATGTTTTTCCCTTTCTCCCTTCTGGTTTTCGATTGATGAACCAAAAAATCAGTGGACTTCACCCAGTCAAATAGCTGCACTGGTGAGGATCCAGTTGCTAATCCAATGTGAAACTAAATATTTCAAACAAGGCATGAAAAAATGATGAAAGACAGCAAACAATGCAGCTGATTTTCGATATCAACAAAGGAAGGAAGCCAATCCATAGACGTTATGGGAAAAGCCTATCCTATTCTTAACTCCCTAACCCAACCAGCACGTGACAGTCTTTGCAAATGCTTGAATGTGGTGACAAAATCAATAACAAAGAACAATCAAAAAGATCAACTGTATATCAACATATTGATTCCAACACAAACAAGCATCTAATAGCCTGTGCAAGAAACGACGACACTGTAAACGAAAAAATTTAAAAAAGATCATTAAGGATGACAATCATTGTCAACATAGAAGATTCAAAATAGCATGTCTGTGTAAACATTATTACTACGACCACAATGAGCACTATAAACTATATAATCAACTTTTAACCAGTCATACATGCTGAAGCAAAATCAAACTATTTATCCAGACAACTAGTATAGAGATATATCTCTTGACACATACTAACCCAGACACCTTCAAATCAGTCATGTAGAATAGTCCAGACTTGGCTCCTGTCCTATTAAAGCTCCGGCTTGGACTCCTTGAGTGATAGGGTGACCTCGAGCAAGATCGCCCTCTATATCTCCTATGTCTGGGTGAAATTGATCTATACAAAAACAGTAGGCAACATTAACAAGACTAATCACAAAACATAAATGATTAAGACTACAGAAATATTAAACAGTTTACCTTGAGTAACGTCTTCGCCTAGGAGAAGGAGAATAATAGTCTGGACCCCGGGAGTAACTTGAGCATATCGTGGTGACCGAGAATAACGAACTGGTGAACGCCTATATGCCCGACCCCTGTCATAATATCATGAACATGTTAACACATGTAATTAACATTACTATTGTTCAATTAACTATATTTTTTCTCTAACTGGAAATCCTTAACAAATACAGGTGTCCTGTCTTCCTAAGTCCCTTTATGCCTAACAAAATGAGAACACCAATTAAGAACAGGAGCTAATTTTGAAAAAAATAAGCAATGTATATAAGCATTGCAAAAGAACCTATGCTTACCTTACACGATCTCTTGTCCTCATTTCGAAGGCTTCTTCCTATTTTCCTCAGCAAAAACAACAGTAAGTTCTCGGCCAAGAAGAACATAACCATCCATATGATATTTTGCATCAGCAGCATCAGCAGGATCCAGATACTGGACAAATCCAAAACCACGTGGTTCCCTACATCACAAACAAGGTAGTCTCTTAAACATGGATAAATACAATAGGTAGCAGATTATACTTCATAAGCCACACATGCTCACTGATTTTCAAAATCACAAACATGATCTTGACTCCAGAGCAACATGAAAGATCATGACATCAAGCTGATGCTTCATACAATTCAAGTAAATATGATTATGTGGCTGCTAACCTTGTGGGAGCCAAATTTAAATTCAGTTGATAATCTTCAAGACTTGCACTTCTCACAATCAATTCAAACAAACTTCCTTCCAACCTTGATGTAAATTAAGGTCATCTTGAACAGTACTCATTACTTGAAAGTGTCTTCAACAGAGTACTTTATACTTCATTGGTGTCTTCAACACAGACTTTATTACTTCATTGGTGTCTTCAACACTTTCAATAAAAACAACCAAATTCCCATAAACCAATGTAAATCATGAAGAAACAACCCATCACCAAAATCTCATGTGAGACAGGATGAAGACAGACAAGTTGCATATCAGACACACACAGACTGAGTTACCATTTCAGGAATCAACAAGGATTATACTCACCCAGTATAATAATCTCGAGGCAGGTGATGTCCTTGAGGCAACCAAATTGGCCAAAAGGTCCCCGCAGATCTTCTGGCCTGCACACGAAGTGCAATTTGAAATTTATTAGCTCTAAGAACACACTTTTGTGAGACTAAAAATTGACTTGTATTATGACAATCATGTTCTTTTAATGAAGACAAACAAAACTACTTGTTCTTTCTTGGATGGGTAAGCAACAAAAGTGAATCATATGTGTCTCCTCAAAAACCTTTGCATATACTACCTCATGAATTAAATGTGAAAGATAACCAGCAGGAAAACCCAAGCAGATACAGAAAGAACATATCTGGTTTGAAATAATGACACCAATCGAAAGGAGGAGACAGCACAAACCTGCAGTTGTGGCGAAGATTGCGAACAAGAAGGCTGGAGGAAGATCTCTACCATGGCCACCATAGCGACCCCTGGGACTAGAGCTGCGACGCCTCCTACCATAACCCCTTGGTGGTGAAGGGCTGTAACTGTAACTTCTACCCCTCATTGGCAACAAACCTAAGCCATTTCAATAGCAACAAAATTGCTTTTAACCATGATAAAACTGGAAAAACCGTGTGCACATAACATAAACCAAACAAAACAAAAGGTAGAAAACCTGCTAACTCTAAAGCTACAAGGCAATGAACAAATAAAATATTTAAACCTTTCAACCAAATGCATGGTTTCACTTCTCTCTGGAACAACCAAGTTCGAGTTAACATTGAATTTGAACAATTTCATCCTGTTTAATCACATAAAAGCTTTACTATTTTCTTTTGCTTTAAAGACATTTTTGAAAATATAAAAGCAAAAAAAAAACAGCACCAAAAATTAAAGGGAGCCTAAAATTACCAACATAATTCAACAGCTCCACATTTCTGTTCCCCCTTAAATTAGGAAGCTAAGTAAAGTTCCTGTTTCCCACTTACCTAACTTTTCCGCCAAGCATCATGCCTTCAAAATAAAAATAGAAACTTGCAAAATTATTTCCTCAGCAAACCAAAACAATCTCGGCGGAAATTTCCCAACAAAAATCTAAAGAATTTTGAAGGAAGGAAAATCTAATTACAACAACAGAAATCTAAAACGCACAAATCTCAATGAAGGAATTAGAGAATTTACGAATTAGATATTTAAATGAAGGAAAATAAGGAGAGAGAGGAAACTGAGAACTTACTGTTTCGTGATCGCTTCAAGAAGAAAAAGAAAATCCCAAGCTTCCCTTCTAGCGTTGGGGGTTTGGTTGCTAATCACACGTTCTTTCAGATTTTCACCTACCCTCTAAATTGAAGTCGAGAAGCTTCCTGTTATACCAGCCACGTTCATGCATCACTCCGCATCTTGACCGTCCACGTGGTTTCCAGAAGAAAAGCAACGGTGGAACGTCATTTAAGTTGGTATGATTGGATCCACCACGGACCACAATCCAATTTGGCCCATTAAGAAAAACCAGACCAAAGAAAGCGGGATACACGGTTTAAATGACACCAAATTATGAGCCTTTTTTTTAAACAGATTGGATTGTTCATGGACCTTGATCCAAATAGGCCAATAATAAAACCCGACCCGGCGATGCGAGCCCTAGCCTCTTCCGTTCTCGGCTGCTCTTAAACCTCTCTAAACCCTTTTGTCTCCTCCTCCATATTTCAAAATCCCAAAAAATATACAAAATTTTCAAAAATTCGGTAGTTTTCTTTTCTTAATCGAAGCCCGTGCTTTTTGGTTAGGGTTTCTGATTTTCCTTTTTGTTAACGAGAAATGGCAGCGCCTACGAAGAAATCTCAGAAGAAAAAATCCAAAGGAGGGAAACCAAAGTTCAATAAAGCGTCCAATAAACAGTTTAAAGTGAGGAAGGATTCAAACGACGCCGTTAAGTCTGAGGCAGTCGCTTTGCAGCTCGAAGATGATGTCCCTGACTTCCCTAGAGGTTCTTCTTCTCCTTCAACTTTCTGTTCGGTCACCGAGAAAATTTGAGTTCTTAACAAAAACAGAATGAAAGAAGATGAGTAATTGTCTAAAAAAGGAGTGATAAATTTTACTTGAATTTTAAAAGAAAGAATTGAAATTTAATATTGACTGTTAATTTATTTTAGCTAAGTAATTACTAACTGGAGATTTGACAGGCGGGGGAAGTTCTTTGAGCAAACGAGAACGTGATGAAATCCGAGCTGAAGTAGATGCGGAATTTGAGGGAGAGGAGCGGTCATTAAAGAAGAATGAGAGGAAGACGTTGCGGAAGAAGAGCCAGGTCATGCCGGATGACTTGGGTTCACTTTTTGGTGATGGCATTACCGGCAAGTTACCTAGATATGCCAACAAAATAACTCTGAAGGTATAGAGTCAAGAAGAAACTTTATGCCCAAACAAGTTTAACTGTTTGTATTGAGTTGTTATCATCTAACCATAAGCTACGTCCATTTTATACGAAATTGTTCTATTAGTTCTTTTTGTGAAAATGTAATTTCTGAATTTGTGATTTCTTTTTATCAGCTTAAAATGATTCTTCTTGACTTGTTGTCTTTATGATGGTCATGCATATTTCTGAAGGTGGATGCATTGGCTTATTTAATGGATGGGGTTTGGATAAATTGGAACATAATTAGATTTCAATGTATTTGAGTTAAACTTAAAACTTTTTTTGAATGCAAAATTTGTATTTCCTTTTTTTTTTTTACCCTGAATTAGCATTTTCTGTTCTTTGAGTTTTGAGTCATTTTTCTGGAAATGTGGTGGCATACTATCATTTATAAATAACCAGTTTTTTCCTTACTTTTCTTCAAATTGTTTTTTCTCAGCTCTGCTTTGATTTTTTTATATTATGGTAGGATCCTTTCTAAACTTTATAATCTAGTAAATGCTTCAACTGAGTTTTTTATTTGTGTGCATATAGAATATTTCTCCTGGAATGAAGCTCTGGGGAGTTGTTGCTGAGGTAAATGAGAAGGACCTTGTAATTAGTCTTCCAGGGGGCTTACGTGGTTTAGTTCGTGCAGCTGATGCACTTGATTCTATTCTCAGTAATGAAGTTGAGGTACACCTGCATATAAACCTGTTTCTCAAGGGATAGATATCATCACATTACTTTTTCCTTTTTCTTTTATATCATTGTAGTTATCTTCCTATTTTTTTTCTTAGTAAGTAATGCACGCAATTGTGGCTTGTTGAGTTTATTTTGCAATGAACTTTTTTTTGACCAGAATAATGAAGGGAATTTCCTCACAAATATATTCTACACCGGGCAGCTGGTTTCTTGCGTAGTGCTGCAGTTGGATGATGATAAGAAGGAGACTGGCAAAAGAAAGATATGGCTTTCCTTGCTTCTCTCTTTATTGCACAAAGGCTTCACCTTGGATGCTGTTCAAGAAGGGATGGTATGTCAATTAATCATTAGAGAATTGAATATCTTGGCAATTTTTTGTATTTCTTCCTCTCATATGCTGGATGCTTAAATACATGGTGGGCCAGCAAGTAATTCTTGTAATTGTAAAGCAGCTTTACTTTAAGGAATCAGATAGAAAGATTGTTTGATTCTCTTTCTCATATTGCATGCATCTTTGCAAAAATTATTCTCTCTAAGTTAACTATGATAAAACGAAGGATTTTTCCTATAAAAGGGATTTTGTCTTCTGATATGCTGGATGCTTAAGTTCATGTAGTAAGCTATCAAATAATTCTTCTAATCAGACAGCAACTTTTACTTCAGGGAATCAAACAAAAATCATGTCATTCTCTTTATTCACATTGCATTTTCTTTATGAAAATTATCTTGCCTAAACTGAATATGGTAGAACAAAGAAATAAGAAATGTCAATGAGCAAGTTTGCCTTATCATTATCTATTTGGATAGTGAAAAAAGTTAATACCAATTTTCTTTCTTAGAACACCTATGAAAGTGCATAGATATAAATATTTAAGAAGTTCCTCAGACGTTTGTGAAATAGTAAATATTTGAATGGATTTGGATGCTAATTATAATGAATTATTAAAATTTGTAGTATTAATTGTAATGCGACTGACTGTTGTTGGACAGTGTGTGGCTTTTGATTGTAATATGGTTTGAAGGATATAAGGTATAATACTTCCCGGTGAGTGAAAATTGTTATGGTGAAAGTTTTGTTGGGTGATTATTTGATGGACTGTACTTTTGGTGGCGTCATTTAGGAATAAGCGCTCAGGGTGCCTTTCTGGTGCATGTTTGATGTCAGATAGATAATGAAGGCTTTATATTATATTTTGGTCAAAAACATCATAAGCAGTTCGCATATGTATCAGTGTAATGTCATGTAGAAATTTGTGGGTTTTTGTGCCTTATTTTAGTGTTTTTTCTACAATAGGAAATTGCTTAGAAGTGGCGTATTCTGTACAATGTATGTTTGATTAAAATAAGGATGGTTCACCATCATAAGTAGGAGTGTAATGAGTCAAGCTACTCATGAGCTACTCAGACTTCACTCAATGAATACTCAAATTTGACTCACTCACTGTTGAGTTGAGTCGAGCTCGAGTTACTCAAGTAATGAGTTGAGTCGAGTTTGAGCTTTGTAATACTTGGTTCAAGTAACCCATGAGCCTTTAATATTTTTAATATTTACATATATAAATAAAATATGTTATTTACTTATATATTTTAAATTTTATTTGAATTTTCATTTTGAATTTGAGCTGGTGTCAAGTCGAGTTTCGAGCTCGTTATATAAGTTAATGATAATTGAGCTTAACTGAGTTAAGTAGCTCAATTTTCTTTTGAGCAGAATTCAAGCTTAGACTGTATCAACTCAGCTCAGCACAATCACAACCCTAATTATTACTAGAAGTTTTAAGTTGTCCTGATAACAACCCTACACCTGTTCCAACAGAAATTGGTTTAATCTTATTTGATCGAGGTTCAAGTATTTGATGAGGTCTTTTGCTTATTATTGTTTTTATGTGATGTACAATGATGTATCTGCCATCTCATGTCCCAATTTCACTCTTATACTCCTTTTTTTTCAGTTCCTCAGCAACACATTTTGTTATCTTTTAAGTTGCTGATTTTGACATAGGTTTCAAGCCAGATTTTTGTTTCAATGTATTGTATTGCTATACTCACTTCATGATGATGTTGTTTTTGGCATATGCTGTAAATCCAGTGGCTTTTTACCTAACTGTGCATGGTCACAGGTTCTCACTGCATATGTGAAAAGCATTGAAGATCATGGTTACATTCTTCACTTTGGATTGTCTTCATTCATGGGGTTTTTACCAAAAGATGGCGAAGCCGGTAAATATTCCGCAACTTCTATTCTTGTTACTTTTACTCTTTCACCAATTGGCTTTTTTGCCATATATTGTTTACCTAAGTGGTTATTTTTGTGGTTTTTGATGCTGCTTTTCTTTTTAAGTTCTCATCTATGTTCATGTTCTGATACTAATGAAGTTAGAAAATTGGAAGTTTGATTTTAATGAATGTTTTTAAATACAAATAATTATGTGAGCCAGCTATAAGCTAAAATACATTTTAGATACTGTATGCCTCATTTTCTTTTATTTCTTCCCATTCGTGAGGAAACAATGATAGGATTATTGTCAAAATTACATGACTTAATAAACTGTAAGTTCAAGAAATCAAGAAAGAAGTTTCTTTAGTTGGATTGGATGATAGGTTTGAATATAATTTTACTGAATGTAGGAGATATGCTCTCTGATACTTGATTGCATTCTGTGTGAAAGGATGCTTTTTACCAAGCTTCATTATGAAATGCTTATGGGAATTTGTAATCCTTTTATGATAGATCTTGGGACTCTTGGGGAGTGGTTGAGATATATTTTTTATTCCAGATTATGACCACTTTTCTTTGTTCATGATGTTGAGTGATATGGTTTAGATATTTTTACATAAATTGTTTCTACGTGGATTATGAATATTTTTATTTAAGCTTTTTTTTCTTACCTTTCATGGATGATTAACCTTGACTACACAGTTGTTTCAATGACTTTTTCACTAATTTACACCTTAAGTTAGTTTACTTTTAAAGTTCTTTTAGTAAATGTGATGAGTTAGGTAAAGAGACAGAGTGGAGTAGGTATGACTTCTGACTTTTGATCTTTGCCAATAACGACAATATAAGAAAAGCTGGGAGAAGTTTATGTTCAATTCAAGGTTTATCTTTCATTGCAAAATTCAAGCTTTTTGATCCACAATAAGAAAATATAGCAGTTTGAAGAATCTGTATGCTAGTTCATTGGTTCCTGGGTTTCAAAAACTTAAAATATTTGCTTGTTGTTACTTAAGTAGTTTCATACTTCAATAAAGTTTTGCAAAAGCAAGAGGCTTAGAGTTTGGTTTTGGGAGTGTCCAAGGTTATAAGTTGTAACCACTGATTGTTTCCATCTTTTCTGATACTTTTGGCATGGTTGGTAATGCTGCTATATGTTTTTTATTGAATTATCTCATGCCAACTTATATTCTTTAGCAGATTAACTTATCTTATAACCCCTTTACTCTATGTTTCTCATAAACACATTTAAATATGATATCCACACATTTGGTTTGGTTAACTCTTTCTTATTGTAGTAAATTCTTTCCATATTTCTGAAACTTTCTGGCATGGTGCCATATGCTTTTACTGAATTATTTTCATGCCAACTTCTGTTCTTTAGTAGATTGACTTATCTTATAAACCCTTTACCATATGCTTCTCATAAACACATATAAATATGATATCCATGCATTTGTTTTCATTAACTCTTTCTTACTTTTAGTAAATTCTTCCCTTTTTTCTTTTTGTCTTCTTTTCAGAAATCACGGACATCAAAGTGAGGACTGGGCAATTCTTACAAGGGGTTGTTAGGCGCATTGATAAAAACCGCAAAGTTGTTTATTTGAGTTCTAATCCAGATACTGTGTCTAAATGTGTAGTATGATTCTCTCCTGCCATTCTTTTTATGGTCTAGTTGGCTTTTCTTCTGTTTACCCTTGTCTTAACATTCTTTTTTTGGTTGTGTTTTTATGCAGACCAAGGATCTTAAGGGCATTTCAATTGATCTTCTTATTCCAGGCATGTTGGTTAATGCTTCTGTTCGGTCGATCCTTGAGAATGGGATCATGTTATCATTCCTTACATACTTTACTGGAACCGTAAGTTTTCTGATTCTCCTCAGAAAGCTATCTGTTGGAGGTTGATAAAATTGAGGTTATATTTGTTTTGTACAGAGCTGCAGGCTATAATTTTTTTCACTTGCTTAATCTTATAGGTTGATATGTTTCATTTACAAAATAAATTCCCAACTAAGGACTGGAAGGATGATTACAATCAAAACAAGAAGGTACTTCTGTTTAGCTTACTAATTTTTGTTGATATTAACACCTTTCTCTTTTCTGATTATCATGGTTAATTTTCACTTTATGTCCTCGACTCAATTCAAAATAGCTCTTTAAAACTAATTATATTATTTTACTTTGTTATATATATGATGTATTTTAACTTTGTCATCTTAAGTGAAACAATATAACCTAATTCAATGTTAGGGCATGAAAAGATAATAATTGTTCAATTTTCACGATTCATGGTACTTCTTTTGTTAAATTTAATTTTGTAGAAGGGTGTAGAAAGCAATGCAGGTTAAATGACAATTGAAAATTTGAGATGAACATTGCCATCTGTTAACACTAACTATTTCCCTCCAAATATAGTGCGTAATATAACTGTCTTGAATTTGCTACTATTTGGTAATTCTTCCTCTTGGCTTGCGTAGTAGGTATTAGACTTCAAAATTTCTGGTTTACAGACATGACTTGTGCTGTTAATGATTACATATTGGCAACATCCCTCAATGGTTTTAACTAAATACATTCTCAGTTGCCCAAGGCCTTTTTACCTTGTTATTTCTTTAAGTTTTTTAACCATTTCCTTTTTTTGTTTGACATTGTGCTTATTTCATGTAAATGTTAAAAAAATTGTCATTCTTAAACTTATGTGCACATCATTTATTTTGGTTCAGATTAATGCTCGGATACTGTTTATTGATCCCTCAACTAGAGCAGTGGGCTTGACCCTGAATCCTCATCTTGTTCACAACAAAGCTCCTCCTTCGGTATGTTAACTGAAGATATATAATTCTTTATGCTTATCCTAGTATTGTGCCTTTGAAATGGCAAGTTTGCTGTCCTACTCATTGGTTGGCTTATAACATTTACACAGAATTGGCTGTTACACCTCTGATGAAAATCTGTTTTCTGAACCAAATGCAATTTTCATTTATTTGGTATAAAGAAATCTTGGTTCTCCAGCTTGATTTGCTGCCTATTAATTGTTTGGTTTTGAAGCACCCAAAATTCGTTTTTCATTCAAATTTAGTGTTGCTGACTTTGAAACTGGGTGAGAAGTAACTTTCATAATTCATCATCCTACAGCAAATGCATGCTATTGATAACTTACATACATTTGTTAATTTTGTTGTGTAATTATGGTCATTGAATTTGTCCAGTTCCCTAAATGATCTACTTTAGAAATTCATTGTTCTTATCTCTATCTCTTCTGCCTTTTTCTCCCCAGCTTTTCTTAAGTAACTTTCTGTTGAGAATAAATCTCATTTCTTTTTGGTTATGTGCCACTTTAATTATAATAATAACCTGTCATGCCTGTTCTGGACAAATGTGTTTTGTGTTTATATGCAGCATGTTAACATTGGAGAGATTTATGACCAGTCAAAAGTGGTCAGGGTTGATAGAGGCTTAGGTCTTCTGCTTGACATCCCATCTAAACCAGTGTCAACTCCAGCCTATGTGAATGTATGTTCCCTTTCTGCTTCAGCTGTGTGTTTCATTTGAATTATTCATATATACATCCCCATTGGTAATTCAGCATTGATTTTAGATATCTGATGTGGCTGAAGAGGAAGTCCGGAAGCTAGAAAAGAAGTTCAAGGAAGGCAGCCAAGTTCGTGTTCGAATTCTTGGATTCAGGCACTTGGAAGGGCTTGCCACTGGTATTTTAAAGGTTGCTTTTTTGCTGATAATAACTTTTGAGCATCAATTTGTTGGTCTAGAAAAATTTCTCTTCTAGTTGAGATGCTGTCTCTTGTTGATTGTCAATTGATATTGCAGCATATTTATTTTTTTGCCTTGCTGTTTCAAGCAGGCCAGTGCATTTGAAGGGCAAGTGTTCACTCACTCAGATGTGAAGCCTGGGATGGTGATAAGAGCTAAAGTCATTGCGCTTGACAGCTTCGGTGCCATTGTACAATTTCCCGGTGGTGTAAAGGCACTATGTCCCATTCGTCATATGTCTGAATTTGAAATTGTGAGACCTGGAAAAAAGTTTAAGGTAATTTCTGATATTGTCTATTTCATTTTGTTCTTTTGAGTTATTACTGCTAAATCTCAAATGCTGCTTTTCATTCGCATGTGTGGCTTTGCAGGTTGGAGCTGAATTGGTCTTCCGGGTGCTTGGTTGCAAGTCGAAGAGAATAACTGTTACTCACAAGAAAACTCTAGTATGTTCTTTATTTTATTTATATTGATGCCACTTAGACTTCTCATTATTCTGCTCCTATGGCTACTTTAGATAAGAAAGCTATATGGTTAATTTTGAGCTACTTTGGTTTCTATAAATTAGTGGCAATTACTAGGGCAAAATATTCTTGTCGCATTGCTCTATCTCTCATGCCATTCCTCTGGATGGAGAATTGTATACTCATAATTGACTTTTGTATCTTATTATTGCTGCTTTTAGGTGGAATTTCCATTAGAACCATATATTTCTTTTCTGCTGCTTCTGCTACTGCCAGGTTTTTGGCAGATCCATTTTAAATATTTGTAATTAAGAATAAAAACCGGTGCCACTATGTTGTCCACAAAGAAGACTCTATTTGGCAGAAAGACTGCCCACACTTGGAATGTGTGTGGATGCTAATCTTTAAGAACCGTCTGTTTCGTTGACTGATTTCAAGTGTTTCCTGGTAGTCAGGCCATGTTAGATGGTCCATGAAGGATATGTCTTCTTCCCTTAAATTCTTAGTATTTTGCTTGTTCTTACATTCTCATTGTTAGTAACTAATTTTTATCCGTGCCGTGAATTTAATAGGATTTTATAATCCAACTTGGTCTTCAAATATCTATTTTTTAAGTAGGACAATATTAGTATTAGCTCTTATATTTTGGCCAATATTGATATTTGCTCTTAAGTGTTTTTTTTTTTAAAAAAAACAAACTAATTTGTATCTTTATGAGTCATATTTCATGAACTTGCTAGTCAATGGAAATCCTTGTTCTTGAATATTTTATTAATTCTGAATAATACTCTGCTAATGGATGCTTTTGCAGGTGAAATCTAAACTTGGGATTATTAGTTCTTATGCTGATGCAACTGAGGGATTTATAACGCATGGCTGGATAACTAAGATTGAAAAGCATGGATGCTTCGTCCGGTTTTACAATGGAGTCCAAGGATTTGCACCCAGGCTAGTCACCAACCATAAACGTTATAGTCCCTATAATATGCTCAATTTGTTTCGCTGCGTATTTTCTATTCTATTATTCATTTTATCTTCGCTATCTTGCCAGCATGATTATAATGCAGTTTATGAACATTAAATATTTGCTTTTGCATCCTTGATGAGGATATTGCATGGTCTATGTGATTTGCTAATTATTTGTCTTTTCCTGAATAATGTTTGGAAATTAAGCAACATGTTGAGGTAATGATTCTTAAAATAAATATTAGAATCAATGTATGTAAGTAGAGGTGGCAACAAAGCAGGTCAGGCCACTTCAGGTCGAAAGAGAATTGGGTCATTTTCGGGTTCAGTTCATTTCAAATTCGGGTTATTGAGGTTTGACACTCAGGTCATTTGGGTTCAGGTCATTTCTGATTCAAATTGTTGATTTTTTAAGTCAAATCAAATTGGATTGGAACAGACTATTCAAATTCGGGTATTTCAGGTTAGTTTTTCGATCGTTTGAGTTTAGTTTGGGAAGGTTTTGTTGCCTTTTTCTAGTCAAATCAGGATGGATTTTTTCCGGGTTCAGGTCAGCTGTGTGAGCTCTATATGTAAGGCAATTGTTGAAGTAATGACTCCAGATGTTTAAGAAAGTGATGGTATTTATAAGTAGCACTAGCTTATTAATTCAATGTAAAAAAATTGAGGTCTTTTAGAGAAGGTTCAATTTTTGTGGCTGCTAATCATTGCACTTGTTAATCAACCGTAGTCAAGTATACATTGTATGTTAGAGTATTGATAATATATCCATTTACTAAATACATCTGTTTCTCATTTGTTGCAACTGTGCTGACAGTTAATCAAGATTTCTTTTTGTATCTACTTGATGTTTCAATTTACCTGTGGAAGGGATTTTAGCTACCTAGTTGAGGACGGATAAAGGTTTCCAGATTGTTCAAAATATGGAATACATGCAAGATGCAGACTGTTAGGCATAATAGAAATTTACATCTTGATCTCACTGTATTTTCCTTTACCCTGTCTGCTTTTTATTTATTATGCTGAAAATTAAATTTGTAATAGATCTAATATGACAGAATGCAAAAACTGGGTGCTCAATCACTGGTTCGTGCAGTGCCTTAAATTTTTTCAAAGGGGAAAAGTGCTGTGGAGTGCCTTTTCTGAAATTCTGAAATCACACTTACTTCCTTGCTTCTCCCCTGCATTTCCTCGCTTTTTATCCTTGATTTACTTTATATGTTGGACAATTATTGCTCATCATGCTTTCTTATCCTTTTTCTTGGTAATCTCTTATTAAGGATTGATTCTCATTGTTATATAAACAGATCTGAACTTGGCTTAGGACCAGGATATGATCCAAGTTCAATGTATCATGTGGGACAAGTTATTAAATGCAGAGTTTCCAGTTCTACCCCTGCTTCACGGCGTATCAATCTTAGTTTCCAGATGAAGCCTGTGAGGTTTGTTTCAATGAGTTCAGATATATTGGGTTGAAATGAATATATATCTTTTCGGTTGGCAACCTTACTGCTGAACACATGTACTCCTTCCTGTTACTTGTTTTTGTTTCTCACTGTCTTTTGAAGACTGGGTTAATGGTTGAGACCATCCTAAACACTGGAGTAACCTTATTGGCAATTTGGCACTAACCCTAATTATAAGATGGCTCTGGAATAGATCTATGATACATATAGTAGTTATGATTTCTGCATATCCAGTGAGCTTCAGCCCAAAAAATTTTTTTCTGACATATAACCACCTGAAAGGGTTTTCTTTTTCTCTTGCAAGGTTTAGTGGTAATACTACAAGTGTTTTTCTTATTTTGTCTTGCTTCAAAATTTAAATGGCAGGGTTTCTGAAGATGATTTGGTCAAGTTGGGTAGTATTGTTTCGGGAGTAATTGACAGTTTTACCCCTTCTGCAGTAGTTATACATGTTAACTCAAAAGCTCACTTGAAGGGTACAATTTCTAATGAACATTTGGCAGATAATCATGGTAAGATTTTCTTTGCCTTCATAGTTTTTTTTTTTTGTGCTGTCTTGTATTGGCACTTTCTGATGTTCAATCTGGTTTTGCAGAGTCTGCTGCCTTGTTGAAGTCAGTCTTGAAGCCAGGATATAAGTTTGATCAACTGCTGGTTCTAGGTATTCTTGTTTGTAGCTGCTCTTTGTTGATATTTGATTTGATTCCCCCCTCTCTTCCTTCCAATTTTTCATCATCTTACGTTTTCTACCTTAAATGACAAAGAATTTTCTATTTAAGCTAGTTTTTGCTTTCTGTTCACTAATAAATAACTGTACTTTAATAGTAGGGAAGCCTATAAAAATGGATGAAACATCCTTCAGGGACGTGATATTCAAAATAATGTATACTTAGCATAGGAAAAACATGTATTGCACGAAGGAAAAAATTGGATTTTTAGTTGAGTGACTGTAATTGTATGTGGTTCCTTGGGTTGGACATAATTCTGCTGAGATGCTACTATGACTTGAACCTCCTGGAAAACATTTCAATCATTTTAAATGAAAATGTTGAATTTATCAACTCACAACTGTATCTTGAGTTATCCTTGTTGGTCTTTCCTGTGAAAAACTCATATATTATGTGCAGATGCATTATGTTGTTCTACTAATTAGATGTAGAACATTTATTTGAATAAAGCTTTATCAAAGTAATTCACAATAAGGCAAAAATTTTGACCCTTTAGAATGCTTCCTGCTTAATCGCCTTATTGTCAATGATAATCTCTTAAAGATGCACTTGACGAGGGACTTCTTATTTTTGTTTAGTTCCATGTTTATTATTTATAAAGAGAATCAACTCAATTAAAGGTATTTGAACCCTTAATTTTTTCACCCTGCCAGATCAGGCACTAGTCTTGTCATTAAACCTTCTTTGCAATGGAAAAGCATTTAATTTCTTTAACTTGCCGTGGTCTTGTCATTCTAACATACTTCTAAGTTTGTGTCTGACCGGCATTTATCTGTGTGCGTGTGTTCTTTTTTTTTTTTTTTGGTGTTTGATGCTTCATGGTGCTTGTTAGCTTTTCTGCTTTCTTTTCACTTCAACCCCCATCTTCAATAAAGGAAGATTATAAGTTCTTTAAACTTACTCCTTTCTTCTTGCAGTGCTGTTTGTCCGTTACTGGTGCTTTTCTTTCACTTATGTTTTTCCTTTCCAAATTGTTGGTTTCTTAAGCTTTTCATGTTATTGTAGATATTGAGGGCAACAACATCTTACTCTCTGCTAAATACTCTCTCACAAGTTTGGCTGAACAACTGCCATCTGATGTCAGTCAGGTCCACCCTAACTCAGTGGTCCATGTAAGTAACTGTACTGCCCATATTTTTAATTAGGAACCATGTTTTTTGTTTGCAAGCACATTATTTTTGAATTTTTTAATGCTATCATCAGTTAAACTAAACCACACTTTGGTTTTACTGCTTTGACATATGTTTATTCATTTTTCTGAGCCAGGGTTATGTTTGTAATTTGATTGAAACTGGCTGCTTTGTCCGCTTTCTTGGGCGTTTGACTGGTTTCTCACCCCGAAGCAAGGTAAATCTGATATCGTTTAGTTTTCATTCTATCTGTTTCAGCAAGTATACACACATGTACACATCCCCTGACCCCCTTTTATTCCATTTTTTATATTTTGAAGTCAACGGATGACCATAAAGCTGATCTATCAGGAGCCTTTTATGTCGGTCAATCTGTTCGCAGTAACATACTCGATGTTAGTGAACCATCTGAAACTGAATTCTTTAATTTACTTTAAATATTTGAAGTAGTGACCATCAATCAATTTTTATTGTTCCACACTCCTAACCCCATTTTCTTTCAGGTAAATAGTGAAACAGCAAGAATAACACTTTCTTTGAAGCAGTCATCATGTTGTTCAACTGATGCTAGCTTTATTCAAGAATACTTTCTTTTGGAAGAGAAGGTATATTTATGGGCAGAATAAGAACTTTATTTTTGTGTTCATATTCACGAATATATACTTGTATGTATTAACACGTAATAATCATAAAGCAGGCTTTATGAAATACCTTTTTGTTGCTCTTCTGCAAGTCAGAAGTTTGCCTTTATTGTGCCTGGTTTAAGCACATTAGATAGTTTTCTTTTTATAATGAAATTGAAAGCTCAGGAAAGTATACTGAAATTTACTTATCACGGTGTTTATTTCTAGTCATAATTTTGCTGTTGATATGGAATTATCTATAATACTTTAGTAAAAAATACCAAGCTTCCTATGCACATATATGTATATGAACATTTTACTGCTACATAACGAACAAATTCCCGATTGTTTACTCTTGCAAGTAGTTTTTACAAATTCAGAGTGATGATATACCTATCTTGGTGGATGATGCCGGTCTAAAGACAAAAGGGAGCATTGTTCCATTGAGAAAATATGAAATGTTCTTAGGTGTCTAATTTACTTTACGGTGGACTTTAACCAAATTATGTTGTCAACATCTGAACTAAATGAACTTGCCGCCTTTTCACCACTCCTTTATAATATCGCTATTGTTTGTTCAAGATGCCTTTAGTTGCCTCTTTATTAAAAAGTGAGCAGTACTTTTTTAACTTTCTGGTATTAGCATTGATTTTTCATTTTAAGTTAGTAAGAGGTAGATATTTTCCACTGGACTCTGCTATATTTTGATAATAAACTTTGCATGTCTTTGTTGAATTTAGATTGCTAAGCTGCAATCATTGGACTCTGATGGATCTGAGTTGAAGTGGGTTGAAGGATTTAATGTTGGCAGTGTTATTGAGGGCAAAATTGGAGAGACAAAGGATATTGGAGTGGTTGTCAGCTTTGACAAATACAATGATGTTTTAGGCTTTGTCACACATTATCAATGTATGTACTTTCTCATGAAATTTGTTATCTTTATGATTTGTTATTACCTTGCAACCAATGACATCCATTGCTTTGTAATGTTTTCAGTAGGTGGACTTACTTTGGAAACAGGATCCATTGTTCAAGCTGCAGTTCTTGATGTTGCCAAGGCAGAACGCCTTGTTGATTTATCCTTAAAGCCCGAGTTTGTTGATAAATCTCGAGAGGAAAGTTCTAAAGGCCAAATTCAAAAGAAGGTTAAGCCCTATTTCCTACTCTATTTCTATGCGGCCTTGATGAATACCTATCAGAGGGAAAAGAAATTGGAATGGGTGTTTCTCAGTCTTATATATTTGACACATTAACCTTAACCTTTTACATATGTTTGTCTGTTAGATTTTTCTTTTGAGCTCACTTGAACATTCTTGATCCCAGAAGCGCAAAAGAGAAGCTTCCAAGGACTTGGAGGTGCACCAGACAGTAAATGCAGTTGTGGAGATTGTGAAAGAGCATTATTTGGTGAGTGGTGAATGCTGTTCAATCCGTTGTTAGCTTGCTGCAATTATCTCATATACATCTGAAGTTACTGCAATTGTCTCATATATATCTGAAACTTATTTCATGTTATATCAGGTTCTTGCAATTCCAGAGTATAACTATGCCATAGGGTATGCATCAAAAGCAGATTACAATACACAGAAGTTTCCTCAGAAACAATATGTGAATGGGCAGAGGTGAGATTGATATCAGTGATTGATCTTTTTCCTTTTTTTACTTTATTTTTCCCTATTGGTATGTAAATTGGTTGAAGTGATCTTTTTCTTTAGTTAACTTCCTCCATAACTTAATTGCATCCTTTTGCATTTTTAGCAGCTTGTACTTTGTCTCACAAATAGATGTCATTGGTATTTTTGTTCAGTTGCTTTTCAAGTCCAGTAGTTTGCTTGAATGCTAATTATGGATGCCTTACAAGTCTAGCTACCTTAAACAAACTCAAAATGGTTGGTGCAGGGTTATTGCCACTGTTATGGCTCTTCCAAGCCCTGCAACTTCAGGAAGGTTGCTTTTGCTTCTTAATTCTATTAGTGAGGTTACTGAGACATCCAGTTCGAAAAGGGCCAAAAAGAAGTCTAGCTATAGTGTGGGATCCTTGGTTTCAGCAGAGGTTTAGTTTATCGGTTTCAGAACACGTTTCTCTGGTTTGTTATGGCCGTTTGTTCAAAAGAATAATATGGATTTTTTGTCCTGACAAGGAATATATTTGTATAAATGCTTCACAGGTTACTGAAATTATGCCACTTGAATTGAGATTGAAATTTGGCATAGGTTTCCGTGGACGAGTTCATATAACAGAGGTGAAATATATATTTTAATATTATTAGTCAATACTTATTTAACTATTTATGTAATGACCTTTTATGCATGTTTTATACTGTTTGTTATGTTATTATAATAATTTTAACTTTTCTCTTCGACAGGTGAATGATGATAATGTTCTTGAAAATCCTTTTGCGAACTTCAAAATTGGGCAGACAATCACTGCAAGGGTTGTGGGAAAGGCTAATCAGAAAGGATATCTTTGGGATTTGTCTATCAAACCTACAATGCTTGCTGGTAAGGCAATGATTTCTTAGAAACTTCAGTTGGTCTAGTGTGCTCTCGTACCATCTACCATCTTGGTAATCTCTTTAATTTGTTACTTCAGAAGCTTGTTGACATTTTTCCAAGCTTTGTTGTGAATGGTTGGGTCAGCTGCAGAATCCTTTCTTGTCCTTTGTTATTTTGCCCTGTCAGCATTCCTATGTCTGGCAAACCATTTTTTGTTTTACCAATTCTTATCTTTTCTGAGCTTAGGAATCTTTGCACTTTGTTCCTTCTAATATTTCTTGTGGTTTTATAACACTCCAAATATTTTATTTTTGCTGCTGCAGTCTTTTTGAATTTGTTTGCATGAAAATATATCTTGATACATCTCCTTTTCAATGGCATCATCTTGAGTTTCTCACAAAATTCTGTAGTTCTGGTTGTCTGTCTTTCTTCTCTTCGCTGCCATTAGTTGCTGTTGTGTTTGACAACAGCGGAGAAGAATTAAGCCTGGCATCATTTTTGTCCATTAGAAGCTAGTACACAGCTTTTATCTGCTTCCATCACCCCCTCTACATATGAACTGAAAAGAGTTCTACTGAATTAATATTTCTCTACCAGGAATATGCCTCCTCTATTTGTTCAAATCACAATCTACTTAAGGTCATATTTAGAAGGTTTAGTTGTTGCCATCGGTTACTTGTTGGATGCTTCCAAATTTTTGTGGTCACTACTGATTTTTCTTCATCAGTTGTTTCTCTTGGCTGGTTTTCTGCCCACACAACTACGAAATGCTTAAACTAGACAATTTCAGCAGCCTCTCAGAAAGGAGAGAATATTTTAGGCAAGGTTGCAGTCAAGCTGAGCCAAGCTGAACTTGAGCAAGCTCAAGCTTGTGTCAACATATAACTCTAAACTTATCTTTGTCTCTGCTCAAATTTATTTTACTGTATCAACGTATTTGAGTATGAGGTTGAACTCATTCAAGCCACATTTAGTAAAGTAATAACAATATTTATATAATTATAAAATTTTGGTATATTCAAAATAATAACTACAAGCACAAATTACTTATAGTTATTGTTTATTGCTATTAATTATGCAATAACATAAATATTAATAATTAATTGTTTATTGAGCTTGGTTTGGCAACTTTCAGAAGAATGGTACAAGGCTCAAGCTTGGTTCATTTAAATAAGCATGCTCAACATCAAAGCAAGATTAGTTCATTTGTGTATTTTTTCTTTCTGCCATATCTTTAACAATTAGGCCAATTCAGCCCAAACTGTTATTAATCATCTCAGTCATTGTTTCCCTAGAATAACAGTATCTATTTTATTTGAGCGGACAAATCTCCCAAAATATTTATTGCTTGCTTCACTTGTTTTTCAAATATTTCTATATCATATTTTCCTTGAAACTGTCAAGATTGCTGTGCATTGCTTTGTTCATTTCTAGTTATGTCTGCTCTTATGAAATAGCTATATGAGGAGTTTTACCCATAAAATCAGTATGCTTGATTGTGGTTGTTGGGTCATTCTGCAGCGATCTAAATTGTGATTTTTATCCTGGTGCTGGTGAAACAGGTGTCAATTCTACAAATGATGAATGCAATTTTTCAACTGGGCAACTTGTCACTGGTTATGTTTACAAAATGGACACTGAATGGGCCCGGTTAACCATATCTCGTCATGTGAAAGCTCATCTATATATTCTTGATAGTGCATGTGAACCTAATGAACTTCAGCAGTTCCAGGAACGCTTCAAAGTTGGGAAGGCTGTTTCTGGTCATGTTTTAAATGTTAACAAGGACAAAAAGCTGTTACGATTGGTCCGACATCCTCTAGGTGCTCTTTCTATTCGAAATGTTCATGGTGAAGATAAAAGGACAGGTGAATCAGATTATAAGATTTCTGGTGAGAGTGTGACAGCTCGTATTCATGAAGGAGATATCTTAGGTGGTAGAATTTCCAAAATAATTCCTGGTGTAGGTGGATTGCTTGTGCAAATAGGTCCTCACACTTTTGGTAGGGTTCATTTTACTGAACTGAAGGACACATGGGAATCTGACCCATTACTTGGATATTATGAGGGGCAATTTGTTAAGTGCAAAGTCCTAGAAATCAGCCACTCAGTCAAGGGAACTATTCACATTGATTTATCATTACGTTTATCTTTGGATGGCATGCTTCCCAACAATCCTTCAGAACTCTGCAGTGATGTGTAAGTTATTTTCTTTTGGGCATGATACATGGTGACATGTTAGTAATCTTGATTTGCTGTGTGTGTGTGTGTGTGTGTTTGTTGTTCTTTTTTTTTTTTAATTTTTTTCTTTCAATTTTTTTGAAAACATATTCTTTGATGAAATGTATTATTTTGCACATTCGCATTTGTATGACATAGTCACAATTGCTAATCATTCATATGAACAGACATTTCATTAATGTTATACGTAGATATATTGTTCCTTGACAAGTGAGAATTCCTGAGGAGCTTAATGATCCATGCAATTTACTGCTTTTTTAAAGGAAAATTCAAGGAAATTATTATTGAAGTGCGTAGTTCTATCATAACTTTCTTTTTTTTTCTCTATTTGATATTATAGAGCATCAAATGGTCAATTGATTGTTTTTGTTGTTTCTTCCTGCGGCAAGTTGATATCTCTTTTACTGTGCCTTTTTTATAGGCAGTGTTTAATAGTTCTTTCAGCTAAAAAGTGATTTTCTGGTTGAATTAGTTCAGTTTAATTCTAGGACAACCCTGGTAATAAGCCTAAGTGTAGTACAATGTACAGAAATGGGTTCTCTTCCTCCCAATTATTTTGGTAGAGCTTGTTTGCTTCTAGGCATCAATACAACTAATCATACACTTACTCTCACTCTTAACTGATAGAATAAAGCTCAGAATCTCTGCAAACAATTTAACCTTGTTGTTAAGGACTGAATATCCGTATATTATTGATGGCCATACAGAGCTATGTTCAAAATTTCCACTGTAATTGGTAATGGCTGACATCACATTTAGTTTTTGGTACATACAAATTAATGTTTCTTTACAGGGACTCTACGAGCAAGCGTGTGGAAAAAATTGAGGATCTTTATCCCAATATGGCCATACAGGTATGACTTGGTACACTTGCCCAACAAAAATCCAAGTGGTTTTCTATTCCCAATTTTTTCTTTTTTAGGAATGTCTCATACCTATCTCATATAAGAAAAACAATCATGTAATCCTTGTTTTTGCGTTGACTGTAGAGCATTGATTTCAGTGAGGTCTGAAAGCAAAAGTATGCAATATTTCCCAATCTCCTTTCTTCTTAGGAGGATCTTATTCCTTTTAATTGATGGGAATCTGTAATAGAGATGGTTGCATTTTAAAATCTTGCAATTTCTATTACTCCATGTGCTTGAAGACTGATTTCCCTGGTTGAAAAATCTGAATCATCCTTCCAAAGGAATAGAATTTGCTTCAGTTTATTGGTGTAGGCATTGCAGCAGCCATTTCTGACACTAGCAATTAAATGTTCTAAAGTTGTTCACTTCTTGTTCTAGTGAATAAGCTGTGTAGCATTTTACTTTGTTGTTTTAAATCTTTAGTTGAATAATTTGACAGCCAGTTTGAATTTATATCCCTAAGGTCATATTGATTTCTTGGATCTGACAGGGTTATGTTAAAAATATGATCCCAAAAGGATGTTTTATTCTGCTTTCAAGGAAACTAGATGCAAAAATTCTTCTATCAAATTTGTCTGATGGCTATATTGATGACCCAAAAAAGGAATTCCCCATTGGAAAGCTTGTAGCTGGAAGGTACTTATTTTTTTTTAATTTCACCTTAGGTCATCCTTACTGACCGAAAGATGATTGTTCATGTTGCTTATAAATCATTGCAATGCTGCAGGGTGTTAGCAGTCGAACCTTTGTCAAAACGAGTTGAAGTTACCTTAAAAAAATCAAATACTTATGGCACATCAAAATCTGAAATTAATGATTTTAGTAGCCTGCATGTTGGAGATATAGTTTCAGGCAGGATCAGGCGTGTGGAGTCATATGGTTTGTTTGTCACGCTTGACCACACAAACATGGTAAGGAATGAGTTGTGCAGTGTTGTTCCTAAAGTTGCCAAATTTGTAAAATCAATAGAATTTCTTTATGACCACTTTTTGGACAAACAACGTATATTTGGCAGGCTATGGGCTTGTCAAGTCAACTTCCTAATACCAGTTTTTGCCAAATTTGTTTATGTTTATTCTTGCGTTTTGGCCAGGTTGGATTGTGCCATGTCTCAGAGCTTTCAGATGATCACGTTGATAACATCCAAACTAAATACAGAGCAGGGGAAAAGGTTACAGCAAAGATATTAAAGGTAGCATCAATTCTCAGAAACTTTAGAAAAGGGTATTTGGTTTGTCATTACAGTGATGTTGCATTTATTAATATGTTAGCTTTTGATGTGGTGGTTTTGATTGTTAGTTTTAGGTTGAATGTTATGATTTGTAAAATTATAGAATTAAATAATGCAGGAAGAGTTTAAATATTTAGCATGTAATTTGATCATCTGATAGCATCATTTAAAGTCAAAGGAAACTCTGGTAATTATTTTCCTTTTTTTTTTTTACTTTTTATCAGTTGGATGAAGAAAGACACCGGATTTCCCTTGGTATGAAAAATTCATATCTTACTGATGATATTGATATCCAAATACCCTCAAATGAAGAGTCTGATGAAGACGTTGAAGAGACAGATGACGCAAGATCAATAATGTTGACAGACAGCACTCTTGGGATGGATATTGAGTATGAAAATGGAGCAAACTCTATTCTTGCTCAAGCAGAATCAAGAGCTTCGATTCCTCCACTTCAGGTCACTCTTGATGACATTGAGCACTCTGATATGGATATTTTAATTAGTCAAAATCAAGCAAATAGTAATGAGGCAGTCACCGGTGATGAGAAGAACAAGAGACAAGCAAAAAAGAGAGCAAATGAAGATAGGTCAGTTATTTCTTTGCACTTATTCATTTTTAGTTACACCAGTCTGGGGCTAGTTGTCCCGACTTTAACTTTTTGTTACTCTTGAAAAATATTCTGTGCAGGGAGCAGGAAATTATAGCTGCTGAGGAAAGACAATTGGAGATGGATGTACCAAGAACTGCTGATGAATTTGAGAAACTTGTTAGAAGTTCTCCTAATAGCAGTTTTGTCTGGATAAAATACATGGCTTTCATGCTCAATTCAGCTGATATTGAGAAAGCCCGTGCTATTGCTGAAAGGTATAGTTTAACTAAAACATTGGTTGTTTTTTTATTTATAGGAAAGTAAGATTCTGACTTGATGACATGTGCAAACTTATTTGATGTGAAATTTTTTCATTTTTTGCCAAGCTTCTTTTTTCTTTAGTACAACTCATCTAGGATTTCTAGATTATTAGACAGTCAACCAAACAAGGTCATAAAAGCTACTTGGTACAAATCAGAGTCCACTGTATCATGTTCAATTGAGAAAAATATGTATATGATTGCTTGCATGGATGACGTAGCATGTCTTTTTATCAAAATTTGTAGTTTAGCATATCAATTGTGGTTCATTATAGCCTGACTGAAAGTCATATTTCTGATGAACTTCTTTTGTATCCTGAGCCTCGTTGTCCTATGGGTAAATATGTCTTAATTTCAGTTCTCAGATTGTTATTTTACTTGTTTTTCTTTGCATGCAACTTCATTTATTTGATCATTCTCTGACTCATTTTAGAGGCTTTAATGCTTACAAGTTCTTAACTTATGTTAGGCATTTTCTTTTTTTGGTTTGCCTCATTGCTGTTTAGTCAACTGGTTGAACAACTTCAAGATAATTGTTATTAAAGTGGCAGTCCCTAATTAGAGATGCATATTGCACTGTAGGCACTGTTGTTTTGTTATTGCTTATTATGCAGACTTGATCTTCAATAATATTATTTTTCTTTGAAGGGCTTTGAGGACAATAAACATTCGAGAAGAGAATGAGAAGCTAAATATCTGGGTGGCTTACTTTAATCTGGAGAATCAATATGGGAATCCTCCAGAGGTAACTTAGAATCTGCAATGCTTCTTTGCTTCTTAAAGAAGGGGAGGGGGTAGTAGAAGGTTGGCTTCTGTATGGGTGTTAGTTCCAAAATTTGTACATATCAACGTAACTTAAATTGAAATGTTATTTCAGGAAGCTGTGCAAAAAATTTTTCAAAGGGCATTGCAGTATTGTGATCCCAAAAAGGTACATTTAGCACTTTTGGGCATGTACGAGAGGACAGAGCAACATAAGTTGGCCGATGAGCTACTTGACAAAATGACCAAGAAGTTTAAGCACTCGTGCAAGGTTTTTTATGATTTCCTGTATTGCTTTTTTCTTTTCAGAACTTTTATAATATCTTGTTATTTACATATTACAAAAATTTCAGGTTTGGTTGAGGCGGGTGCAGATGTTGTTGATGCAACAGCAGGATGGGGTTCAATCGGTTGTAAACCGTGCTTTATTATGTCTTCCACGCCATAAGCACATTAAGTTTATTTCACAGACAGCTATACTTGAGTTCAAATCGGGGTTCCTGATAGAGGGAGATCTATGTTTGAGGGAATTTTAAGGGAGTACCCAAAGAGAACAGATTTGTGGAGCATTTATCTTGATCAAGTGAGCTCTTTTTAGCAGTTGATTGTTGGTTTTATATATATATATATATATATATATATATGGGTGAGTATATGTTACATTTTTTTATCAAACTTGACAGGAGATTCGACTTGGAGATGAAGATGTGATCCGTGCTCTGTTTGAGAGGGCAATTAGCTTGAGCTTACCAGCCAAAAAGATGAAAGTGCGTATACTTTTGCTTTTGGCCCTTAAATGTTGCGATTACAGTGTGCTTATAATATTCCAGGACAAGCTGTTGGTTTTTCCTTTCCTGTTAAGCCTTATGTATCTGTTGAATTTGCAGTTCTTATTCAAGAAGTATCTCGATTATGAGAAATCTCTTGGTGACTTGGAAAGAATTAAATCCGTTAAACAGAAGGCAATGGATTATGTCGAAAGTACACTAACTTGATTGTTATTGGGACTCCGATGTTGAGTGACGACAGAAGTAGTTATCTTACCCTCGACTGTGCAAAAGAGTTAATCTGGAAGAGAGGTGTCAACAATTATTCAGAATTTGATGGGAGCGAAGATGAGTGATGTTGGCCCAGCTGCATTGCCTTGGGAGCACCGGGGATATGAAGGACAATTGCATTGAGGTGTGTTATGAGCTGAAAATGCCTTTCAGAGTGGCCTCTGAAGCCATTCTGCTTCTTTTTGTGTTTTCATATATATATATATATATTAAGTGCTTTTACAGGAAATGGGAGGAATTTTTCCAGAAATGTGGAGGTCCACTTCAACCCTCCTCCCTATTTATTCAACCAAACTTTTTTTTTTTTTGAAAGATGAGTTTTTATTAATGATAAACTGGAATGCCGTGGGGAGTCTTCAACGTTGAGATTTGAAGACTCTTATTGGCATGGAAGCTATCATGAGAAGAACTTATTTTGAACAATTACAAAAAGAGCAGCTGCTCAAGGAGCACTTGGCAACATCTCATCCCTTCTTGGATCCTTTCTTGGATCTGGAATTTTACCGCCCCTGTTAATTAAGGTCGTAGGTTGATTTAAATAATTAATATCAGGCGTAAAACATGCCATCTTATTGGCATAGAGAAATGTTTAAATCTCAGGGAAACAAGCCTGTCTTGTTTTCTGCCTGCCATTCCTTGAGATGAAGAGCCTCTTTTAAAACCTTGAAAAGAAATGGTACGCAGTTAGATGAGGGAAATGGCCTGTGTGTAAGCAGCATTACCTCGGCATCACCACCAAGCTTGCTTTTCATGTAAAATGCTACCGACTCTGGAACCGCTTAATCCTTCCTAGACTGGATTATTGTGCAAGGCACGCGGACCTGAGGCAGCCTGTTTCTCAGGTCACTTGAGAACACAGGTTGTAGCAACGTCAAGTGCAATCTCTGGTTTCATCCTCCCCAGGCTATTCTTGAATATGGCTACGCTTTTGTATTGTTCACTCCCACAGCTTTCGGAGCAAAGTCTTCAACCCAATCCTAGAAATTTTCATCTATAAGTCGGTAGATAGCATCGATTTCTGATCTCTCAAAACCCCCCCCCCCCCTGGTATCCTTCATCGTTGATGTACCTATACCAAATCATTGTACAACAAGAAATGAATGAGGAATCATCAAATAATAGGCATAAGTACACCTCAAAACATATACAGGAGTGAACTATCAATTTTGCAAGCTCTTGTTATATGAATGGATAGGACTTGACTGATTAGCACCACGGGGAGCCACTCAGTAGGATGAGATGTGAAAAGAGTTGGGGCCAGTTTATTGCAGCCATGCATCCAACCATGGCAGCCATCAGAGGACCTAAATAAATGGTCCGGTTCACATGGAGCTGATCAAGAAGGCACACCAAGTCATCTGCATAGCCACTGAAAGTTGGATCAAAAAGCTTTGGATCAACGTGTGGGGAGAAGACCATTGTCGAAGACCACCACCTTGAAGTAGTATGCAAGCAATGGGACCAGAAACCGCCAAGTAGTCTGGTCTTCACCAAAACCATGAGAGAGGAGTAGGGTTTCAGTGCCAGTTCCAAATGTCCATACGTTCAAAGCTTTCACAATGCCCCCCTCCACTCTCACACAGCATGTCTATGGCTTTCTAGCTAGTTTTTATATGTGACACAGAGAAAGAGATTATTATCCCAAGGTGTTTAGCTTGGGTTGCATATATAAGGGTTTTAGTTTCCTTTTTACGTGTGAAAGCCATTGCATATTAAGTATAATAATATAAGGTATAGTTTTTCTTACTTTATAATTTTAAAGTTTTAAATTAAATCTAATTAAATTATTTACAGTTGAAACTTGGAAAGCATTGTGTACGAATGCCTAATCAGATTTAAGTAGTTGAGGGAGAAACATGATCACACCAATTAATCTCAAGCCAAGGTCAGAAATGAAGATAGGAAGGCAATTTATCTAAAACTTAGAAAGTATTTAATAATTGTCATTAATTAATTAGAATAAATAAGACAATTATTCAATATTCAAATATATATGTATATATATGTTGTATTTAGGTATACATATTTATTTGCTAAAAATGGTAAATGATATCTGACAAGGGCCTAGCTATTATAATCCTTGTTAACAAAGGGATAAAGTCTTTTTTTTTTTTTTTCTATTTTGACTTTTTTTATGTGTACGAAATAATAATAATAATAATAAGTGATAAAAGTCCATTTAAACACCATTTATTTCTATAAATTAGTATCCGTTAAATTTAAGAAAGTGCTATATTTTTCTTTTTCAAAGAAAAAAAATTGTGCGACCAATTGTTCAATTGAGTATCTTGCATGAATATGATGCATGCCTTAACTCGTACATGCATGACAGCAAGATCATTACAGTTATGTTTTGAAATCATTCTCTTACGTGTACAATTGCATGCATACATTTCTCCGCATGCATTATATATATATATTATATTATATATATATAGATGATTTTTAATTAAATTGTCAATATTTTAAATTTTACAATTACATATTTATTTAATTATTATATGATTTTATTAATTTTTTTTAGATACAATTTAATATACATCAACAGTTTGATAAAAAGTTGAAAAATAATTATATGCATAGAAATGTATGTCATGCTATATGAATATTTATTTTGATGATATCCATATATGTACGTACATATATAAACATTAAAGAGCAATTAATAATCGTTGGCCAACAAACGTACCGTCCCAAGTTGAATTGGATGAAACTTTTTGAATTGAATGAAAAGGCCTCATCATTTATTGTCTTGTGCTAACCCAAAAGCTTAGACTAACCCTTCCTTTCTACCATTCATTCATTCATTTATTTTGTACTATATATATATATATATATATATATATTTGCTACAACTACAAAATAATAAAATCTTTAATGTAAGTTTTGTCCACATCCCATATATATATAATCCATGTCCTTTTCCTTACAAAGTGAGGCCAATAATGAAGTAAGCCCAAAAAAAAAAAAAAAAGAAATTAAAGTTTGCTGATCAAAATGAATAAATACTCAGGAAATAATTTGAATTGGTCAATGTCACTTTCCATCATTTGATCTTATCTTCAATCAACTGTCTTCCGAATTTGCCTTTAATTCTCACAACTATTTGCTCATTTCCCATTTCTGTGGATTTCGTCCGATGCCTCTCACCTTCCATTTAACATTTCGTCCACTAGGTGGTTTCCCAAACTGATGTATCAGCTTCAGTCGGTCCGGCTTAGTATTAAAACTAGAGCTGATATTTCTGAACCAAAACACTGTTGAATCCGCAATGAGGAGAAAAGTTGGTTGCAAGAACTTGCAACTTGACTACTCGTGAAAATGACAAGCTCGCCAAGCATGAGGGGACCAATTCATCACAACAAGGGGGTTTATATATATATATATATATATAATTAAAAACAAAAGAAATTTAAACTTAATTTTTTCAATAAAGAGATAATACATCAATCAATAAACCCAAATGCCAAAATACTCATTCATCACAACAAAGTTGATCAAATGGAAATGCCTCTCTTTATTCTTCATTTCTAAGTCACAATCTTTCGCTGTTAATAAATTAGGGGTTTTCTCTGAAAAGATACATACATACAGAAATGAAAGAAAGTGATTTTCTCAAAACATTTCAGACAAAAGGTAGATAGATAGCGATACCAAATAAATGGCTCAAGGAAACTATAAAGACTGCAATTGGAAAACCAAAAGAAGGATACCCTTCCAACTATCAAATGGTTGTCATATCATTGTCAAAATTTCAGTGTACACGACGTGTGAAACTGATACGACAGTTACATTGATAATTTGCAGGTTAATGTCCTCAACAGCCAAGGAAAAATGAAATCAAAAAGCTCTGACCTCATGCCACGAAATCCAACTGCACAGAGCAGCACAAGTTCCTGCTGACCCGAAGAGAGTATCCCACTGCTTAATTATTACAAAAAAAATTGATGATTTGAGCGTCAGAAGATTTCTTGGATATTTGTGTTCATCAGGTAGCAGGCCCCATCATGATACAAGATATTCCTGGCTCCGCTCTTTGACACTGACTTGCAACCAGCTACAGCCATAGAGACCAAAGTCTGCTAAAGGCTTAGCTTTTTACTCCTTCAGAACCTGAGGAGATTGCTAATGAAACAAATATTGCACTTGGTAGAGCCTTCAAACACGTGAACAAGAACATGAATTGTTTGCTGCTGGGTATGCATGAATATTACAACGAACGACGGCCTAAAGAAGGGTGGAAGAAAAGCCCATCCACTTGCTTTCCAGGCCTTTCAATTTCATCTACAAAACATCTACTATACAAAATATTACTTACAATGAAAGGATAGCAGCAACTTTACCCATGCTTCAAATATTTACTCCCCGTGCAGCTGTTGTCTACCATGCAGACTCTGTATTATATCTATATAATTTTGGGAATATATGCATTATTGCAGCTGTGAGGTTTTGGCAGTCTTATCATCTTGTGCCCAGCCCTAATACTAGCTCCTTTTGACGTACCTTGGCTGGCACTTCAATGTTCAGTGAAAATAGAACCACAAGCCATTAGTTTTCTTGTTCTCCTCAGTAGAATGCCTCAAGTTGTCTCCTTGACTTGTGATAAAATATCAGACAGGAAAAAAGAAAGCTCTGATTAATTCAAGGCATAATGGACCCGCTCAAGAAGTTGCACTACCTTCTTGACAGGGATAGGTGAAGGTGGTTGTTTTGAACTCAACTTATGTGTATCTGGAGAAACAATGGGAAATGATAACACAGCCTCTTGTTGCATGCTTGTAAGCTCTAAGAATTGAGCTAGCATGTCACCGTCGAGTATCTTTGGTACTCCAGCCTTTATCCAGACAAACAAATGCAGAAGAACAGTAAGAAAAAGAGGCAAGCTTTTCTGAGTACCTGACCCACATTAAATAGGAGAAGAAGCATGGAAAGACTATATTATAAAGCCCCCTCCCCATGGCCCCACCCACAAACTAACTTCCGCATTTCTACAAATGAAGAAGCATAGCATCTAAAATGATGATGATGATTGGGAAAAGAAAAGGAGAGACAGAAAGAAGAAATGCTGCACAGCAAAGAGCTAATATAGAGACTTAATTGCTCCTAGATTCAATAATTTTTTTGCTGACTAAACCTACAAGCATCAAAAGTTTCATCACCATCCACAGGGTTAATAACAAAAGTAACTACTGCCTACTGCTCAGATCAAGTCATGAAAATTTTTTCTTACCGGGTTTTCACGGCTACGGTACTCATTATGATCATTGCCTAGTACAGGAGCAGTCAATGGATGAACAATGAGTCTAGCTTGGACAGCTTCCAACAGATCATGTTCCTCCCTACAAAAAAAAATAATTTATCAAACACAATTCCCCAAATACAGACATAAATTAGACCAAACGGCAGCCTAGCCTATGCAGCAC